CAAATTCTGCCAAGCCCCCCCCACTGTACAAATTGTACCAGCCTCCCCCCCTGCCGGGCTGCAGGTAGATGCAAGGAGACAGCATGATCCCCGAGATCAGAGCTCAGGCTGAGAAGGGAGGCTGCCAGGACGCAGTGGCTGATGCTCCCCAGGGCCAGTGCCCAAGCCCAGCATCGCCACCTGCACACACTGGCCCAGCACATCCTGCTGCCAGGGAGCGGAGTGACTCCGGATTGCACAGGAGCAACTCCCGATTGTATGGGAGGGACTCTGGATTGCGGGAGTGTGTAAGAGGATGGCCTGGGAAGGTGTTGGTTCTGGGATTAGTTTCTAGGCCCTTCCAGCTCTGCTCAGAGCCCTGTAAACGGCCTGCCCGGAGGCCTTCAAAAGCCACTTTTGTCATGAGTTCTTCCCTGGGTGCTGCTCAAAAGGCTCTGGGGAGGCGGGGGAAGCCCTGCTCTTGGCCAGGCACTGACCAGTCATTTCCAGAAACCACCAGGTGTCCAGTGGCACCTTAGAGACACCGATTGATTTGGGCATCGGCGTTTGGCCAAATCAGCCGGTGAGTCTTTAAGGTGCCAAAGGGCTCCTGGTTGTTTTTGCAGTTACAAACACCATGGCGACCCTTGAGACTTGCCACCAGTAATTTTCAGCACACTCTGCCCGGGGGAAGCAGTGCCCCAGAACTGAGCTGTGCTGGCTGGGGCAGTTCTGGCTCTGAGTGGTACCTGGCTTCACACCGAGTGTGGGATGTGGGAGCATCACAACATGGCTTAGGAATGCTGCGGCAGGTGCTTCTTTGCACACGGGGTGGTTATTTCAGAGCACTGGCCTCCCACCTTTTTAACCACACGGTCACTTTTTACATTTAAGTGCAATGTAAGATCTACCTGAAACCCAAATACCCTGGCCCCACTTCCTTCCTGCCCCTTCTTTGAGGCCCTGCCCCTGCTCCACCCCTTCCCCAAGGCCTCCCCCTGCTCACTCCATCCCCTTTCCTCCCCCATCCTCACTCACTTGCACCAAGGTGGAGTAGGAGGTTGGGGTGCAGGCTCTGGTTTTGAGCCAGGGGGCTTGGAGTGTTGGAAGGGCCCCAGGCATAGCCCAGGGTGGAGGATTGGGGTCCAGAAGGGGCACAGGGGGACTCATGTCTGAGGCAGGAGGTTGGGTGCAGGAGAAGGTTCAGGGCTGGGACAGTCAAAAACCCAAACTACCCCACTTTGTAAGCAGTAAAAGAAGTAACAGTCACCCCCCAGGTATGTGCTGGTTGAGAGGGCAGGACAGTTGGTGTTTGTGACACAGAAAGAGAGAGAGAGAGATATTTGTATTGCCAAGCTCCATCCTTCCCCTTCTGAGTGGACATGGGGTACAGGAGTGGGGGGACACCCTGACATCAGTGACCCCCTTTCTCCCTCCCACACCCTGCACAGCAAGCAGGAGGCTCTCGGGGCAGGGAGGGGGGCAACTCCAAGGCAAAGGGAAGGAGCCACATGGCAGAGCTTAGAGGGGCAGATGAAGTGCTGCACTTGACAGCCTCCTGGCCAAACCGGTCAGGATCACTTGTCACAGGCTGCAAGATCTACCAGTAGATCCCGATCTACCTGTTGGTGACAACTGTTTTAGAGCTTGGTGTATCCAAACATCACCTGCCCTTGGCTCCTCATTTGCTAGTGTGTGGTACGTCCCGGCAGCAATAGGAGTTGGGCCTGACTGAGAAATTCAGGATCAGGCCCTCGTTTTCCATCTCCTTTCTCAGACAAATTGGTTTCCAAAAGGCTTTGAGTTCATAAACAAAAGCTGCTAAGGAAAGGAAACTTTAATGAACAGGCATGGGCCACGGTGAGAACTCCCTTGTTAAGTGAGTGGAAACCTCATAACTTCCCTCAGAGATAGGTCAATGTTATCAACCCATTTTACAGCTGGAGAAACTGGGGCTCAGAGCGGTGAAGGTTACTTCCTCAAGGTTTACTCAGTGAGTCAGGGCTGGGGCCAGAGATGGATTCTCATCCTAATGATCTAGCCGGCACCCACGTTTTTTACTAGGCAGGTCAGGTAATACACAGAAGACAGCAGAGGAGGTGTGATCAGAAACTCTGGGTTCAGGTCTTGATTCAGCCATACAATAACTTTAGTCAAAATGTTCCTTTCTCTTGCTTAGTTTCCCCATCTGTAAAATGGGGCTAATGAACCTTACTGACAGCATGGCGGGAAATCATCAAGACCCTGGTTTGGAAAAGGCTGAGAAGAGCACATGGGCGGTGCATGAACTCTTGACTCAGGGAGCCTCACCCCAGCCCCACCCCCTTCTCTTGAGGCCCTGCCCTTTCCATGCCTGCTGAAGCCCAGCTTCTGCTGTAGCTGCTGGCCCATGCCCAGCCCCCCAGTCCCTCCACCACTGTGGCTGCTGGCTCCTACCCAGGCTTCTGTCTCTAGCTTCTCTCCCCCGAGAGCCAGGAGGCCAGTGCGGCTCCAGCATGTCACTCTGTGAGGCCTGGTAGTGCAGCCCCAGCCTGCTCTTTCCCCTGGGTGCTGGAAGGCCAGGCAGCACGGTCCCAGCACACCACATGGCCAGGCAGCACCGGGGGCCATGGTGGCACGAGGGAGCCAGCTCTGGTGGCTGCCTGCAGAGTGAGAAGCAGGAGGGGGCCTGGTAACACCATGAGGGGGCCACACCTGCCTGTTTGGGGAAGCTCCCCCAGCCCGCTCCCCCATGGCAGAGTTACCGACTGTAAAGCCAGAAGGGACAGTGAGACGCTCGTTATCTCCTGGCTCAGCAGCTGGTCTCTGGCCTGCCTCATGGGGCCACAGCACCCCTTCTCTGACATCAGACGTAAGCTCCTTGTCCTCCAGGCCTTCACGGCCCGTCTCCACCCTGCCCAGCCTCTCTCCTCCACCAGCAGGAGCTCAACTCCTGCCTCCGGTTGGCCGAGGATGCCACCCGCCATTGGTTACATGTTCAAACAAGCCTCTTTGCCCAGAGGAAGTTGGGATGGGGGGGGGGGAGGAGCTGCAGCACCCAGCTTCTCTGTGCTTGGGGGCTGGCCCCACTGCTGACTTCACCAGCACTGGGCGGCCCCCGTGAGATCCCACTGGCTTCATCGCCACCCACTCGCTTTGTAGGCTCTGCCCACCCTTGGGTTCCCGCTGGCTCTGCCCCTGTGGGCTCCACAGCCTGCCAGTTCTGGGGTCCAGGCTACCGTCCCTGGAGGATCTGCTGCTGCCTGGGGTCCTACCTCCAGCTGCAGCTCCAGCAAGGGGCTAGGTTTGCCAACTCTCCCAGACCTGTAAGAACCAGATGCCATTGCTGCGAATGGCATCCAGTTGGTCTGGCCTGGGAGAGTTGGCACACCTAGGAGCTGGGCCTGCAGCTGGCTGCTTCTTGGGTGCAGCGTAGTCTGTGGTCCAGGACAGGAGGGGAGCTGCCTTAGCACCCCCACTGCTCACCTGATCCCCCTGCAGCAATGAGACCCAGTGCCTGACACTCCACCACTCAGTACTGGTTCGTGACCCCTAGCTTGAAAACTAACTGCCGTAAGCAACTCCGTGCCTCAGTTTCCCATATGAAAAATGGAGTTAACAATCCTTTGGCGCTATGTATGTAAAGCAACATCTAAGCTTGTTGTAACTGTGAGCGCATTTCATATTCCAGCTACATCTGACCTCGCCTTAGCAAGTAAGGATTGAAATCTGCTTATGGGAATCTCAGACCATTTTAGCAGTACTGATAAGGCAGGTGACAGAAGATATGTTTGTAAATAAAAGCTGACATTTTAGAAAGGTTGACTGCCTAAGAACACACAGACCTTTTAGCATCCCCAGAGGGCTGAGCCAACGTATTGAGGAACAAATAATACATAGAAGGGTAGCCGGGTGGCCTGCATCTAACAGCCAAACTAGTTTTGCAAAGTGACCTCGTAGTTGATTTTCAAATCCTGGGATTTGTTTTGGACTCACGGTGAATGACCAGCCACATTTCTGTGCCTGCTGCAAATGCCAAGGTAAAACCCAGAGTGAAGGCTCATTAGCAGCTGAACTAAGTCAAGCACAATATTTGAAGCTTCAGGGGGGGAGCCGAGTTAGTTTGTACAGAAAAAAACAACAAATGTTCTGGTAGCACTTTATAGACTAACAAAACATGGAGATGGTATCATGGGCACAGCCCACTTCTTTAGATGACTGGAGTTCTGGATCAAAGAGATCCGAGTATTTAAGCAAGACCTTCTATTCCCCTCCTGTTGCCCTGGGCCCCTCCTGTTGGGGAAGCAGAAAAACCCGTTTCGGTCTCCCACGATCTAAAGACACTTGGTCTCCTGCAGCACCTTAGAGATCAACAGAAAACGTAGCTGGTATCATGAGCTTTCGTGGGCACAACCCACTTAGGATGGACGTGGCTGTGTCCACGAAAGCTCGTGATACCATCTACATCTTTGGTTAGTCTCTAAGGTGCTGCAGGACCATTTGCTGGTTTTTAAGTTTTTTCAGTTACAGACTCACACGGCTATCCTTCTGAGACTATCTAAAGACGTGTTCCCCTTTGTGGCGGATGGAGGGGCTGCCTGCTTAATGTAATGGGCCGGGG